AAACAGGTGCCATTGATACAGGTAATGAGTGCAGGACAGAGGAGCCTCTTAAAGAAGAAGGTACAGGTCTGTGAGAGCCAGAAGTCTTACTTGTTTGTAGGTGACCAAATACTTATTTTCCACCATAATTTGCAAATAAATTCTTTCCAAATCAGCCAATGTGATTGTCTGGATTTGTTTTCTCATTTTGTCTCTCATAGTTGAGGTCTACCTATGATGCCAATTACAGGCCTCTCTCATCTTTTTAAGTGGGAGAACTTTCACAATTGGTGGCTGACTAAATACATTTTTGCCCCACTGTATTTACTAAAATAATTGCATTTCCATGCTACTGTGTATGTACTGTGGGAGATCAAATATAATAAATGCAGGGTCCTCTGGTACTGGGTTTAGTAACACTTTAAGTGCATCAGCTTATCTTCCACAAACAATTTTGTTTGCAAATAACGAAAAAGGTTCCATTATGGTAGAAGAGTTCTGCAAGCAATGCTATATCTAGATGTCTGCAGGTAGAAAACATCCAGAATTTACGGCCCATTGCACCTACACTGGATGGCTATTTTAAGTAAACTAATCTATGTAATGGCCTAAAAAAGAAATCAACGAATCAATGGCAAGGATTCATCAATAGTTAATAGCAAATCCGACAGGAAAAAAAAATCTATGAAGTAATAATGCAATATAGAAAGTACTATGGCTGTGCTGAAACCCACCCAATCTACTTTAATCTCAGTTCTCGTCATACCCTGCAGCATGAATTCCAGAGAACACCATAAACTTTAATGGGACAGCAATCCTTAAAACGGAACAAAACTCTCTCAATTAACTACTATGTTTAATCCTCATGCTGCTAACCTTGGTAAATAGATAGAAAGGTATATTGTATTCATTTGTTTTAAACTTTTTTTTTTTGTTTTCATTTCTTAAGTTGCCTCCTGGTTTCTGGCCTAGGCCAAAATGATGTCATACATCCCAGGAGTCTTCCTTAGCATTTTATTTTTGCTCTTTCAACGGGAGGAGGGGAAGAGGGGCTTTCTTTCTCAGCCAAGCACACCCTCCTTACCTGCATGCCTGAGCTAAGGGCGGGAGGATTCCATACATAAATGCTGCATGAATGATCTGCACTTATGCAAGATGGCTGCAGCTAGAAAAGCTAGGGGATAATTTTCGAAGTGATTTCTCAACAAAATAATGCATAGAGAGATGGGTGGATGGGCGAGTTTGCGTTGGATATTAAATATAATTTAAATAGTATTTTCAGTTTGCGGTTCTCAGATACAGTTCAGTCCCACTTTAACGGTTTTGCTGTGAAACTTTCTTTTTACTTTCAAGTGCAAAGTTAATGGTACATTGAAAGTTGACATGAACAAGGGAATCAAGCATGTTGATGTTCTCTTTGTGGAATTATACACCAATGAAACCAAATCTGTGACAGTGACACTTCTTAGACTGAAGCAACACTGGTTATGCCTCTTAAAACTGAAAGCCGTAATAGTTCTGTTGTCTTCATCATTCTGTGTCTGCAACAACCAAATACTCACAGCTGGGTAGACATGGCCTATCTGCATTGTTCGGCCAATGTGGATCTCTTCTTCCTCCTCTTCTTCCTCCTCAGTAGTTTTCCGATAGACAGGATTATCAAAGTTCATACTCTTTGTATTCTTTCGTTTCCAGTTCCTCCAAATGAGATAACCGGAGAGGCAGAGGAGAGCGAGGACAGCTATGGAAATACAACGGTAGCAGAGTGTAAGGTGTAGGTATGAGCAACATCAGAAACATCAACGTACATCAGTAAAACTACGTGCAATCCAGTAGTGGGCCTGTGGAATACCTGTGGATTTTTTTTTTTTCAAATTTCATAGACAACTAGACTTGTCCTGTAATGCTGAAAATGTTTCAAAGCTCGTGCCAACCACTTCTTCAATTCCATTAAGTGTCAGCTTTAAAAAAACAAGCATGTCATACTTACCTGCTCTGTGCAGTGGTTTTGTACAGAGCAGCCCCCAATTCTCTTCTTCTTGGGTACCCTGATGACACTCCTGGCTCCTCCCCCTTGACCAGAGCCCCCGATAGCAAGCAGCTTGCTATGGGGGCATTGTTGTGTGCCACCTCCTTAGCCCTGCTCTATGCATCCATAAGACACAGAACCGCGGCTTGCCCCCCCTCCTCATTGGCTCACTGGCTGTGATTAATAGCAGTGGGAGCCAATGGCTCTTGCTGCTGTCTCAGCCAATGAGAAAAGGGAGTCCCAGGATAGTTGAGGCTCCCGTACACATCACTGGATTGAAAGGGGACTCAGGTGAGTATTAGGGGAGGTTTTGGGGGAGCAGCACACAGGCTTTTTACCCCCATCATATAATGCATGAAGGCAAACTACTGTCAGCCATTACAACCACTTTAATAAAGGGGAGGTGCGTAAAATGTGAGATTTCCATTAAAATTACTTTTCTGTAAACATTAACAATATAACTGTTCATTAATAATACAATAATAATAAAAAAAAATTGTCTTCACAGAGCATATCTATATTTTCATAATTTTGTCACTAATATCTAGAAATAAGAGCTGCATACATTTTATTACACATTCAAACCATTTACACAGGGTTTACTCACCAAGAGGCACGGCTACACCAATCACTGCTGCTGTCAGTGTGGACCTGAGGTCAGAATCTACATTTCCATCTACAAGAAAAAAAAAAAAAACAATGCTGGGGGGTTTGTATATACACACACTGCACCTTCTAGTACCACCGACATTGAACTTATTCAACACTTCCAAGCAGGAGCCCAGATGCAATACATTGACTGACATTAATTACGTGCAAAGTATGTCCTGATATTTCAACTTCAACATAGTGATCCCTTAAAAATGTCACTATTATGATGAAACGTGTCAGGCAGCAGTGGCCCTACTTCTTCTATGGATCACATATGTGCACTTAGTTCCTCACTCCTGTGATCCATATTTAGCCAACAGCATCGGCTGCCGTCACTCAGCTGGTCCAGGCACTAGATAGATCCCAGCTTTATTGTCGGGATCCACCCAGAAGCCTAAGGGGCATCTGGCTCAGCCTCTCAGTGTACTGTTAAGAGCATGATGCAGACAATCCCGCCCCCTCCACAGCCCGGCGCTCCAATGAGCAGAGAGCCAGTGACTGATAGTATATGCCTGGACATTATTTGGACTTTGGATTTGCAGGTGGCACATTTTTTTTCTTTACGTTTTCTAAATAATTTAGAATTCTTTTTTTATTATATGGTTTATATGTGGTTTGTAATAATTATTGCTAGTGCAAGGATTATTGTGGTGAGGTACTTGCAAGGCGCATCTGAAATGCGCACATCTGCAGAACTTTCGAAAACGTATTTTCCAACAGTGAAAGATGTATGTAAAACAGGAAGATCATAACAGTTTGTGGTCAACTACATTTCCTGGTGAAATGCTCAGCTGATTCTGCCAACATTAGATAACTAAACCCTTTGAAATCTTAAAAATACTGGTAGTCCCATTCTTAAAATGGACCTATCCTGTCCAGAATGTATAAGAGAACATTGTTTTTAAACATACTGCATTTGGTGCATGGTGAGGGTGGAGGCCCCAATCCCAGGCTGTATACATGGCCTTGACTTCTCTTCAAGTCTGTCATTGTGATTTTTGTGTTAGATGTAGCTGCTAATATTTTTCTGAGAGCATATGTTTTAAAAATAAAGTTTCAAACACTTACTATTTTCTCATGTGTTTTTTTTTTTTGCCCAGGGCAGTTCTGCAGTTGCTGGTTTCAAACCCCTGGTTGCATAGCAGCCTAAAGTTGTCCACAAAGGATCAAACATTAACCAGTTTGGCCAGGACCAGACAAATTTAGACCCATCTATGACTTTTCCTGCTCAAGATAAGTCGATCTAATGATCAGCTTCTCTCAAAGGGAATGCTGGAAATTTTTTATTTGATAAGTGTATGTAGCCAATCAGCTGCAGTGTTGATTAGTGTATTCTGACAGTAGAAAAGTCGCTGCTGTCAGAACACAATAGCACAGCGGGTAGAATTCCTCCATCCACCGTGAATATGTGGACAGGGAAATCCATGCGTTTTTTTTTTTATTAGCCTGCTGGCTGATCAAAAAAAAAAAAAAAGTAGGGCTATACTGACTGTGTTGTGCTTTTCTACAGACTACTATCAGAGTTATCCTTTTCAATTCATAAACACCACTAGTGGTGATTATAGTGGAAGACGTTCTATGGTCTGTGGAACAACTAAAATCAAGTCACAATTGTTTACCATGCATTCCTGTCACCCAAAATTCCATGGGCTCAAAACTACCATAACAATTCTTTTGTCACTATAACTAATGTACCACCAAACATTAAACGTTAAAGTGACCCTGTCCATATAGTTACATAGTTAAATTGAAAAAAGACATAGGCCCATCTAGTTCAACCAAAATAAAACAAAAAAAACCCTGTACAGCATGATCTATATTACTCCAGCGGGGAAAAAAATTCCTTCTAGGCGTTAATCAGATATTCCCTGACTCAACAATCTCTGGTGTTATTACCTATAAATGTTAAAAACCACGGGGTTATCTATACAAGTAGACCGTCCCTAAAAAATGGCCTATTTACAATGACCTTTCCAATGGTCTGTGTCTTGAAACACTGCTACTTCGCTAATCCCCACCCACTGCAGGTATTCTAAAATCTGTGTATAAACACCTGCTCCCCCTGCCACATGTAGTGGATCATCCTGCTTAGTCATACGTCACTATAGGAGGTATAACCTATCAGGAAAAACCACTGATAGGTGGCAGATATTCAACCCAACATGGAGAGTGTCAACCAGGGAGCAATGATGCAGCGGCAAGACATGGGCCCCCAGGAAGATGAGTATAGATGGTCTTCTTTAGTAGGGCTAGCCTACTTTTATAAGTGAACCCCTGATGACAGGGTCACTTTGAGATCTTAAGGGTTAGAAAGCAACTAGAATACTATTCAAAAAGTTTTTCAGTGTCTCTTTTCAATCTCTGTTTCACAATAACCACAACTAAACAGGATGTGAAAGCACTTACAGTGTTGGTAGACGCTGCTGTTATCAGTAGTTAGCACCTTAATCTCCTTGTGGCCTAAAGAAGAGGTAGTTTGGAAGTCCTCAGTAGTGCTGGAGTGATTCAATGTTATCTCAATGGAGGTGGTAATCGTAGTGGATGGTGTTATTTTAATTGTCGGCGCTGGTGTAGTGGGCACATCGGTGGCAGGGTAGTCAGTAGTAATTGCTGGTATAGTTGTTGCTACCGTTGTAGTAGTTGCTGTAATGGAACACACAATAAAGCAAACAATAAAAGCTAAAATATTAAAGTAAGGAAGCCTTTGGTTATATTTGCCATTTCCACCACCCCATTGTAATGCTCCTTGCAATGGTTCCTGTAGTCTAGGATCCTTGACTAGTGGGCCAAACACAGAGTCCCCTATTTAGGCCATTCCCACAATAGTGCACGTGTAATATTAATGATATTTTTATAGAGTGGTATAAAATACTAGTATATATACTGTGTATTTTTAATCCCTCTTTAATAGCTTAGTTTTGTCTACTTTCTACTGTGTCTAAAAGGAAAGCATTTGTGTTCCTCTGGTTGCCATGGACGGGCCGTTTACCGGTCGGCCCCGTTGCTGATGCTGCCACGGCAGTTTTTTCATGGATTTTCCAGCATGACCGATAAAACTAAACGAGAAGATCCGCGAACAACGGCCAACGGGCTGGCCCAACTAACGGCGTGAATATCGGCCGATTTTTCGTGCGGACGAAAATTCGACCAATAAACGACCCGTCTATGGCCTGCATAAGAAAATCACAAAGTGGATCAGAGATTGCCCAATACAGCTTACTTCTGTCAGTCTTTACCAAATAGTAAAAAGATTTCTGCAGCTTTAATAGAACTTGCCAGTTTCAATCCCCACCATGAAGCCAATACTAAAAATATGTGGAAAGGTCATAGTGCCTGGCATGATCAAGATCAGTGCCATCCTTTCCCTGTGCTCCCAGCTTGTTTTGAAATCCAACCAAGGTAAAGACGGGCAGCCATTATATTTTACAGCTGGGCTCAGAACTTGTGTAACATGTTCCATTTTAAAGCAGGCTGAAGATGCTGCTGGAAAGGAGCACTGTGCTGTCCCTGGGAAGGCCAGGCTCTGTAGTCTTGGCATTTTTCTGACGTCTGGAATGTGGTTCCACATAGAATTTTTTTTGAAGATGGAGCTGAATTTGGAAAATTGTATTTAGGGTGTACCTATCCTTTAAAAAAGCCAGTGTTATCTTCCATCCCCAGGTGATCAGTAATTGCACTGTCCTCAATTATCCATTTATCCCTTTTATAATTTATCCTTGTGCTTCCCTCCTATCAAATTACCTTTCCCACAGCTCCTCATGTCTGGTCCCAACTCCACCCCGTCGGCACAGGCGCAGGTGTACTTGGGGGAGTGGACGGATATCTGTGGTGCTGCCAAGCACAGGTATTCACATCCACCATTTGGAAGAGGTCCTTGGTTACAGGCATTTATAGCTAGGAAAAAAAACACATTATAATTGTAAGAATGTCATGTGAGCAATAACAAAAAAGGGGAAACAAACACAAGCATGTCACTTGGTTTTTCACAACAAAGGGAACTGACATCTCCAGAAGAATAAAGATAGTTGACTATATTATTTTATTTGGAATAAATAAGGTCAAAACTTGATTTTTCAGATCTCAATCATTGCCTTCCATGCAGGTTGCATTTGTGGAAGAACAATGTCATCTGGCATTGTGATGGCCACCATGTGACTGTCAGTAAAAATAAAGCACATCTAGATATTGAGATCACTTCATGTAAGATTAGCCATGGACACAAGAATGCAGCCAGGAGATTCACTGGTCACACAATTGCTCCGGCCAAGCATTCATGTTATGCACGGAACCGACACCCTTAGAATCAACTTTATCCTAGCTACACAATAAAAATCGTCCAGAAAATGCAGTTTGGACAATCAATGTTTGTTTCAAGCACAGGGGATCAAGAGTTGTCTGCAGAGGTTCTCACAAGTGCGCAGGGTGGATAAAAATCAATGATTTTTTAAAACAAAATAAAAAAAAAAAAATCTGATTTTTTTTTATTTAAATAGGATTTTTTTGAATAAAATGCTTTTTGAGGAAAATATATTACCATCCAAAGGTTATTCCATCATGAAATAAAGATTAGTTTTTTAATTATGTAGAATAAGGCTGTATATGTTTAATTTTTTTGCGTAAATAAATTCCATGAATCCATTCACAATGTCATGCTCTTCCAGAGGTTTTTGTAAGATTATTGGGCAGTTTCTCTGCCTACAAGATATTATCACAGATGTTTGGTTTACTTTTGCAGTTCTCAAAACTGAAGTTGACTCAGCGGAGATCACATGCCTCTTCTTCACAGCAAAAGTGTTATAACATGATGACAGAGTTAAGAAAAAGACCTTAATCCTAACTTCTACAAACCTATGAATACAGAATCAACCCCTTCAGTGCTAAATTTCAAGAAGTTCAGTGAATAGAATAGAAACAATATTTTTTCTGATTGTGTTGGAGTGGAATAGATCTGCACAAGAAGAAAGTGAAACTAAGTGTGAGAAGGAAGGGGCTGACAGTCTAAAGTTTCTTAAAATATATATATTTTGTTTAGCCAAATTAGTTAACAAACATGGATGTTTGTTTAAGCAAATAATATATGCTGGAATGTTATTGTTTCAGTTGAATAAATCTATTTAAATTGTTATTATTAAGGTAATGATTATTTTTCTTCTTCCTAAGTACAACAGAAAAGTTGTCCAAATATTAATGATTAACCTATTAAACTGGGGATAAAAAAACTAATATGAAAAGTTGTTATTCTAAAAATCTTCATCTACTTGCATATTAAAGTTATACCAGCAAGAATTAGTCTTTATGTAGAAAACTAGGATTTAAATCAAGCCTTACTGACTAGTGATTTAAATTAGTTTGATTTAAATCAAATCCACCCTGCAAGTGCGCAATCATTTCATGAACAGACTACGCCTTTCTCCGTGACCTCTTAAACCTTGGATTTTACAGCATGACGTACCCTACTGCTACCAGAAACTGGATAAGTTAACTGCTATGTGAGCACTTATGAAGAGGGGTACACAGTATGCAGAGACTGAAGCATTTAACACAATGTTACACATTTTACAAGGGGGGGGGGTAGTCCCCTTTTGGACGGGACTTTATAGCACAATTTTCTTATATAGTAAATTTGAACAGTTCAATAAAGATTGTTTTTAAAACAATATGCAGTTTTATTTTTACAATCTTAAAAAAACAAACATGAAGCTACAATACATATTGCGGCGGTGTCATCAAAGATGGTATTGCAAATCTAGTCATGGATCATGCATAGTTCGTACTTGACACGTTTCGAGATCAACAAAAATCTCTTCCTCAAAAGTGCTCAAAGAGGCATGACGCATGATTCCACGTGAGGTAAAAACCACCAAAAATTTAAGAACTAATTGTTATACGAGCACAGCCACGGACTTCTCATATATCTCATATTAAATGGGTCATGGGTTTGATTCCCGACCATGGCGCCTCCTGCATGGAGTTTGCATGTTCTCCCTGTGCTTGCGTGGGTTTCCTCCGGGTGCTCCGGTTTCCTCCCACAGTCCAAAGACATGCTGGTAGGATAATTGGATCCTGTCTAAATTGGCCCTAGCATGTGTATGTATGAATGTAAGTTAGGGATCTTAGATTGTACACCCCTTGAGGGTTAGGGACTGATGTGAATGTTCAATATATATGTGTAAAAAAACGCTGCGTAAATTGACAGCGCTATATAAGTACCTGAAATAAATAAATAAATAAATATATCTCAGGCAAAAATGATAGAACAAAAAATAGTAAAGAAAAACAAACCAGTGAAGGATAAATGCCGCCCAAACGCCTCCTGAAGGGGCCCCGCACAAATGCACTGGCAACCAGATTACCTGCTGGCTGATACTGATGGGGCAGTGTATGAGTGCGGAGCGATGACCACAAGAAATTTGAGTGAGAAAATATTGATGGCCTGATAAAGATCAGGACTGGGATGTAAAAAAACAACCCACTAAAAGGCAATGTACCAGGTCTATCCAACAAGGCACGCTTGGTAGCTGTGAGCCATCCCAGTCCTGATCTTTATCACAAATTTCCTGTGGTCATCGCTCCGCACTCATACACTGCGGTTAGTTAGTTTTTGGCGGTTTTCACCTCACATGGAATCATGCGTCATGCCTTTTTGAGCACTTTTGAGGAAGAGCTTTTTGTTGCTCTCAAAACGCGTCAAGTGTGAACTACGCATGATCCATGACTAGATTTGCAATACCATCTTTGATGACACCGCCCGCAATATGTATTGTAGCTGTATGTTTGTTTTTTAAGATTGTAAAAATAAAACTGCATACTGTTTTAAAGAAATCTTTATTGAACTGTTCAAATTTACGATATAAAAATTGTGCCGTTAAAGTTCCATCCAAAAGAAGACTTCCCCCCCTTGTATTCTTTAGGGATGTTGGCACCCTGTGTATTATATCCCTTCCTTTCTCTAATGTTACACATTTTGGCCTTTTGCATATTCAGAATCAGAAAATGTATTGTCATTTTACAATAACAATCATAAAATGAAACACAATTGTAGCTCTCTCACATTAAAAAAAGGAATTCCACGCTCAACAAAAAACAACCAAAAACAACATAAATACAGTAATAAAAACATAACTTCCAGTCCACTTATTCCACATGACCTCTAGCATTCAAGAGCCGCACAGAACAAGGAAAGAAGCTATTCGGCAACCTGGTGGAACGACAGCCAATACTTCTATACGGTCTACCAGACAGTAGCAATGTATACAGACCATTACCTGGATGTTACTTATCTTTTAATATATTCATTGCTCTCCAAAGATACCTCCCCCAATTCATCAATACTTGATAGACTAACTCCTGCAATAGTCTTCTGTGCAGTTTTTATCAGCCTCTGCAAGGCATTTCTGTCATGGACTGTGCATGATGTTTGCCACAAAAAAATGTGATGTTAACATACTTTCAATGGCAGCTTTATAGAAGCTAAAAAAATGACCCACTCTGAAAAGCCTGCCCTCCATTGCTTCCTCAAAAAGCATAGTCTCTAATGACTCTTGCCCACCAGACGGGATATATGTCCTGTCCATGACAGGTCCCCCCTAATTATTGTTCCCAGGAAGTGGAACTCCTCTACCCTCTCAACCTCCATTCAGTGGCGTAGCGTGGGTTGTCAGCACCCGGGGCAAGGCAAGCAATTTGCGCCCCCTAACCCGTTGACCAACCACGGAGGATCCTATATGATTGGCAGTCTCAAGCTCATTTAGACCTATAGCTGATGTAGGTCTAATTGGAAGGTGAGAACGCACTCTGTTGGGGTGAAGGTACGTGTTTGTGGTCTGGGTCCACGGGTGCATACATATTATTTAAGGCTTATTTGGGTGAAGTGGGACGTTCTTCTGCACTTGTGTACAGGACTATCTATCTGGACTGTTTTCTTTAGACGTGTTGCACTTTTTTTGTACTTTTTATATGATTATCCATATATAATCCATGCACACTGTGTCTGTGGGGCATTAGTGTTTTCAATATTTATATTATTATTTATGTTATACATGGATACTGTGTTAGCAGGTCAGTGTTGTGTTTATTACACACTATACAATTTTGTTTATAATGATTTGATTTATTTTTTCATCTATCATTTGTTGTACAGTGTACTAGCTCAATATTGGTATTTTTTGCTGCTGGTGTTTTTGTGATTAGGTGAAACTTCACATTATTACTGTTTATTATACTTCAAGAAGAGGTATGTTGGAATTGTAACACTGTTTTTGTATTGTTGTCATTTAATGTTAGTATCATCCCTGGTGCTGATAAAAAAAAAAAACAGAATGAAGGACTGCACACAGATAGAGGTGGCTGAGCCTGTCCAGTGTAATTGCAGCAGAAATTCCTCCATCTAGGCAGTCCAGGTGCAATGTACAGCCTGTCACTGACATGAATGGCTATATGCTGCTGTACTCATGTTAATGAATGTGCCGCTGAATACAGAAGTACAGCAGTCTACAGCCATTCATGTCAGTGACAGGCTGTACATTGCACCTGGACTGCCTGGATGGAGGAAATTCTGCTGCAATCACACTGGACAGGCACCTGGGCTTCCTGGACACCTAGGTGGAGGAAATGTAGCTCCAATCACACTGAATGGGCTCATGCAAGCTGTGTGCAACATCCCAGTCTCTTTGTGCAGTGTGGGAACCAGATGGACTATTCATTCATCTTGTAGTGTGACACCAGCAATGTTTATACAAATACAAAGCAAGCAGGGGTTAGGATGGATGGATGGAAGGATGGACAGAACATACAGACATCCTGCATTCTTTTCTCCCTATCAGTAAGTCTCTGTAAAAAAAAACATGATTTCTGCGGACAGAAATAAATGCAGAAGTCTGTGTACTGTCATGCTGTGGATGGTTACCAAAAGCCTGTGGTGTTACAATGCAGCATGAAAGAATCTTGTTCTCTGGTGCCCTGCTGTCAACCCTCTGTTTCCCTATAGAAGTCTGTTCTCTCTATGCTGGCAGAAGCTGCTTCTCTGATCTTTAGACCGAGTGTGTGACGGGAGTCACTTTGGGTGGGGGGCCCATGGAACCCAGCTCACTTTGGAGAGGTGGGGAGACCCGTCTCAGCTCCCCATATCCATATTATGTGTAAGTCACCCTGTGCCTGTTTGAATACCTGTGTGTCTCTTGTTGCCAAGTGTAGATTGCCCCGCCCTGTGTCATTATGCAGGGAGGGGGGATTTTCCCAAGATTTTTCCAAGTGTATAAAAAGCCAGTTCGAGAATCAAATAAAGAGTTCCATGTTCAGACAGACTGGTGTCGTCTAGTCTTGTTTGGTCGGCTGTGGTGTCTGTTGTTGGTGTTCGGACGGGGGAAGCGGTATTATAACGGAGGTATCCAAGAGCAGACTGGGCCGGTTCCGCTACAGAGTGCAAGAGAAAAAAACTCACATGGATCATTGCAGGCAGAGGCTGAGCCTGGAATCGGTCTGCCTCTTGTCTACAAGGTTGTCCCCCATTTCAGGCTGTGTCCTCTCTTCTCTCTCCCACATGCTGCCAGCACCTGCTCCTGTTAGCTAACAGGTCAAATAAACTGGGCCGAGGAAGAAGCTCCTTGTAGTGCAGATCCCATTGGCTATCTTTCTTCCTTTCCTTGGCAGCGTCTTCTCTTCCCCTCCTCTTTGTGCCCAAACACGGCCGCTCCACTGATCCCAGTGAGAGATCACTCAGGGTTCCCCTGCAGCCGGAACTATAAACATAGCATCGGCCTATGTGGCCCTGAGCAGCTGTATCACCCGCAGATGAGAAAGGAGTTCCTGCCTGGCATCTACAATACTGTTTTTTTTTTTTTTTAGCAAGTTATACTCACACTCACAAAAAATAGACATTCAAAAGCGGTTTGTGAACATGAGGGTGTTATGGTATTGCTGAAAGATTTTTTGGGGATTCTTCAGCATTGGATCCAACACACACAGGGCGTGGGACTCCTTCCTGAGCCCCTGTAAATGTTGTGCCCAGGGCGATCGCCCGGATGCCTCCATAATCCCCCCCCCCCCCCCACGCTACACCACTGCATCCATTTATTTATTTATTAAGTACAGGTACTTTATATAGCGCTGTCAATTTACACAGCGCTTTACATATATATTATATATTCGCATCAGTCCCTGCCCTCACGGAGCGTACAATCTAAGGTCCCCAACTCACATTCATACATACACATACTAGGGCCAATTTAGACAGGAGCCATTTCGCCTACCAGCATGTCTTTGGAGTGAGGGAGGAAACCCACGCAGGCACAGGGAGAACATGTAAACTCCAGGCAGGTGGTGCCGTGGTTGGGATTCAAACCCACAACCCTAGTACTGCCAGCCACTGTGCTGCCCTCTCATTAACCATCACCGGCTCGTAGCTAACCTCCCGTACTTTCCTAAACAAAAAAGGATTTAGCACACATCCCTGTGGCACCTCTGTACTAAGGGACATCAGTGATAAGTAACAATTACCAATTTTTGCTCATTTACTAACATTTGGAGCAACTGCACTTTCAGTGCACAGGATATAAGCCTTTAGTAAATCAACCCCACTGTGTAGGCAAATAGGCTGGCAGCCTCTGCACACCAAAAGGGCTTCCACGGTCAGTTTGGGCTGTGACTGGAGTGAGTAAATCTAGAACTGAAGTGCCAACCCTTGCTATTAAAGTCCAGACACAAGTTTATTCCAAAGCAAAATCTGAGAACGCCAAGTCTTTTCAAGGGGCATCTAACCCCTTCACAAGGGCTTGCAAGATAGGAAACTGCATATGTGGGCTTGGTAGCGATTGAATTGTTTGATATAGTGATTGTTGAAGAGATTGGCGCAGCACTCCTCAGCAATTGGTTCTAGCAGATTTACATTGCCAGTTAGTAACAATGCCACCATTAAAATTCTTTGGCTCTCACAGATGGAATATGAAAGTTATTACTGGTGAAGTTTGTGCACCAACATTTCATTTTTCACATCTACTATACACACATGGATCACATTTTATAAGAAAGATGAGCCCATGAAAGCTACTTCGGTTGATAAGTATATTAAAGCACTTGGGGGAAAAGACTTTTGTGAAAAAGGGTCAGAGCTCCATCCTAAATAAAGCAGAGAGGACATTCGGGAGGTATCATACAATGCCTGCATTTTTTTTTAAATGATTGTGAGAAATATAAAATGTCTCCCATACTCCTAATGGACAACTGCAATTGGATAGTAGTAGAAGACAATGGCGGAGATTTACTAAAACTGGTATACACAGAATCTGGTGCAGCTGTGCAGGGTAACCAATCAGCTTCTAGGTTTGATTGTCAAAGCTTAATTGAGCATGCTGAAGGTAGAAGCTAATTGGTTACTATGCACAGCTGCACCAGATTCTGTGTGCAGTAGTTTTAGCAAATCTCTCCATGTATATGCAGACAACCATGGTGCATCTCGTTGTAATGCACAACCTTTGTTTATGCCTTCAAAATGATCCCCTTGATAGCCAAAGTGTTGGTTTCCCCAGGCTAACAAAGTGGCAGTTTTGGTTTTAAAACGATTGTAAAGTTTTGGCCGATTTGATTGGTCCTGTACCTTTGGGCTGCTTGAGCTGATGAACAATGACAATATCATGAGGATTGTTGAGATTCTCTGCTAAGATATAAATTTCTTTTCCTGTAAGTCTGTTCGCACTGAATATTGCTTCATTCTCCAGATCTGTCCAGAAAACCTTGTCCTGGGAAAAAAGGATAACCAAGATGTGGGGGTTCAATGCACGACAAAAAACATACAAAACGTAAATTATATGAATATAAATAGGTACATGGGATAGGTTTAAAAATTGTGGAAACAGGGGAAGTCATATACAATTCAATTATTTGCTTCATTTGAAAGATTCATACTTTGCACTTTCAACTCCAGCTTGAAAAAGCGACTATTCAGGCCCAAAACATGCTGTAGCTTTTTCATTATGGAATGGTTCTTGCACAAAAAACAAAAAAAAGAAAAGTAAGTATTATGAGTCCCTTGTGACAATTTGCTTTAGAAGCTGAAGATTTTGCACCCAAAAGTGCCACAGTGGATTGCACACAATCGATATTCACATAATCAGCCCTGAATGAGTCATTCATTATGGCACTGCATGATTGGAGCTAGTGCTCCTTGATTACACTGTAGTTCCTGTGGCAATCCCCATCAGACCCGTACTTAAGATGAGGGGGTGAAGTCTACTGTTCTCTGTGTCATTATGATGACATTTTGATATGTATAAATAGACATTTTGCGGCAGAAGCAGCATGGTTCTAGGGTGTTACATCAAGTCCGCTCTGATGGCCGCTGGCCTGTGTATAATTTGATTGGCCCTGGCATTATGTGCTTTAAAGGATAAGTTCACCTTTTGAACAAAAATAATAAATGCACATTTTTTTTGCAGGTAAAAAAATGTGCATTTATTATTTTTGTCCAAAGGAGCCTGGAAAGCATTGCACCATTGAAAACTACAAGCCCACAGCCGCTGTGGGCAGAGCCCCACACAGCCGCGTTGTTTTCAAACCTGACAGATAGTACGGGGAAACATCTTCCCGTATTATCTGTATGAGGGAGGGGGTTGCGGGCACGGCTGTAGCTATGGGTACATGTTACATGTTCCACCCTTCCTTTTTTCCCACACTGTTCCCCACCCAGGCAAGTGCCAGGAGACTTACACAAGTGCTCTCCATGTATACGTATAGGTGAAGGGTGCCCTTGGGCATCGTGTGATAAAGGTTTGTTATGATAGAATTCTTGAATAAATCTTAAATAACTTTTGATGTATCTATAGTGACCTGATCCTCTTAGCTCCTGAGGAAGTGGAACACTACAAGTCCAGGAAACGCGTTGAGCAACATGCATTCTATCACAACCGCTATGAAAGTGATTGTTCTATTGGGGACACCCATTATGTATCACTGAAGGATTAATTACAGCAGATGATTAAGCACAATCTATTTTGGGGGTCCATTGTTCTCTGTATTTTTATCTTAAATTTTATTCACATGCTTTGCACATAACATGTACAGTGCTCAGCATAAATAAGTACACCCCTTTTAAAAAGTAAGATTTGAATCAATATCCTAATGAACACCTTGAGTTCCATAGAACACTTTTTTAGCTCATTACATGGAAGGTAATAATCTAACTTAGATTGCAAAATCTATAGTTTTACTCAAATTAGCTGATGCAAAAATTAATACACCCCACAACAAAAACTATTCCATCTAGTATTTTGTACAACCTCCATGATTTGTAAGGACAGCACCAAGTCTTCTAGGCATGGAATGAACAAGTTGGAGACATATTGCAACATCAATCTTTTTCCAATCTTCAAGAACGACCTCTTTTAGAGCCTGGATGGAGAGCGATGCTCAACTTTTCTCTTCAGAATTCCCCGTAAGAGTTCGATTGGGTTCAGATCAGGTGACATACGTGGCCACTGAATCACTTGCACCCTGTTCTTCAGAAATGCAACAGTGGTCTTGGATGTGTGTTTTGGATCATTGTCATGTTGGAAAAGTACACAACGACCAAAGGCACAGCGTGATGGTAACATTTTCTCTTTCAATATAGAGCAGTACATCTGTGAAGTCATGATATAATCAATGTAATGCAGCTCCCTGACAACAGCAGCACTCATGCAGTAGACACCATGCATTTTTCTCTGTACTCCTCACCTTTGCGACCCCACACAGTTTTGAAGCCATCAGTTCCAAAAAACATTTATCTTGGTCTCATCGCTCCAGAGTACACAGTCCCAATAGTGTTCTTCTTTTTCTGCGTGGGCCCTGGAAAATTCTAGACTGACTTTTTTGTGCATGGGCTTCAGGAGAGGCTTCCTTCGTGGACGACACCCATGCCATTCCTCTGCAGTGTACCCCGTATTGTGCCACAGGAAACAATCACCCCAGTTTGGCTTTCTACTTCTTTAGCTAACTGCAGTGAACTTACATGGCGATTTTCTTCAACCCTTCTCATCAGAAGACACTCCAGTTGATGTGTTAACTTCTGTGGACGGACTGGAAGTCTCTGTGAGATGGTTGCAGTTCTATTTTTGTTACATTTATGTATCACTTTTGCTACAGTATTCTGACTGGTAAATAAAGCTTTGCTGATCTTCTTGTAGCCTTCACCTTTCTTGTGTAAAGAAGTTATTTTCTTTCTCAGGCCTTGTGACATTTCTCTTCCATGTGGTGCCATTGCTGTCAGCATGAAATGGGAAGGGGTGTTCTTTATTAAGTAATGCCCTTTTATAATGAACTGTCTGCTAGACACATGTTTAATGAATAATTAGACTCACTTGTAGTTGAATTCTTAATTAGGATTTTGTTGTCTAAAATTTAGCCTTGCTCCTTAAGACTTTCATTGGGGTGTATTCATTTTTACAACATGGTTTTGAATGAACTTGGTAGGAAAAATACTTTCTTATGTGTGCAAATTAACAATCTTGTTTGCAATCAATGGGCCACATTTGTGGGAGTATTTTGTAGTATAGTGTCCTATAAAAAATGCTGATTCCGAAAGTAAAGGTTTTATGAAAAATCTGTTGGGGTGTACTCATTTATGCTGAGCACTGTATATATAAAAAAAAATCAATTTGTTTTTATTTTTTTTTAAGAAAATAGTTGTGCCAGTGTGGTGAATAGAAAGTCCTGCCATCCAAAAACGTTATACATTCTTCCAACTCACCTCAAACACTGCCAGGCCAAAAGGGTGACTCAGTTTGTCCTCAGAGAAAATCAGTAGTTTCCTGTTAGCTCCACTGAAGTCCACACTGGATAGAGTATGGAGCTTTGAGTCTACCCAGTATAGGCGATGGGTCAGTACATCTAGGGTGATAAGACAATTCACAGACATTAGAGCATGTGGACACCTGACCATCACACACATAGAAGCCATCAGCACTAATATGGAGTTACCCCCATCACCAAGGAGCTATAATAGCCTTCTCACTTCTGGGAAAGCTTGCTTACATAAGCGACACGGATCAAACATAGGTCATAGATCCATACAAAAGTTTAGTACACCATATGGGTTGTTTACTAAAACTGGATTGTACAAAATTTGGTTCAACTCAGTATAGAAACCAATCAGCTTCCAGGTTTTATTGCCAAAGCTTAATTGAACAAGCTGGTGCTAAAAACTCATTGGCTTCCATGCACAGCTGCATCAGATCCGGAGTTCTCCAGTATTTGTAAATCTTTCCCACAAGGCATACAAAGGTATAAAAGAAGGCAGTTTGTAAGCAATTGATACTGTGCTTCAGGACCAAAGATATTACAAACAACCCACCTAATCTTTGGTCTAATGGTCACTTTATGTAACATGAACATCTAGAAAAGTAGGGTGCAGGCTGTGGGTGTCCTAAGGACTGGACACTTAATGGCCAAAGATACCTATGCATGAGAGAGACCTGCACTGAAAACTAGAAAGTAAAGATCAGGATAGAACAAAGGGGGGAGAAGAAAGAAAAGACAGGAGAAGGAGACCCCTGAGATCTCACAGGAAACCTCTAGAAGCAAAACCAGACTATGGAAGATTATAAAAAAAAACAACAGAAGTGGGGGATGTGGCGCTGGGAAAGCTTTTACAAGATTTTGGGTCTATGGCAATGTCTGGCCAACTCAGCCAAAATATAATTTGTGAGGTCAAGTACTGTTGTTGGATAAGGACCTAGCTCATAATCTATACCAAATATGGCAAACCATGGGATTGATTTACTAAAACTGGAGAGTGCAAAATCTGGTGTAGCTGTGCACCGTGGCCAATCAGCTTCCGTTTTTTTTCATCAAAGCCTAAATGAACAGAAGCTGATTGGCTACCATGCACAGGTACACCAGATTTTGCACTTTCCAGTTTTAGTAAATCAACATCATGTCTTTATGGAGCTTTGAGCACAGGGGTACACTTTTGCTGGAAAATAAAATGGGCCTCCCCAAACTGTTGCCACAAATTGGAAGTGCAAAACTGTCTAAAATGTCTGAATGCTGTAGCATTAACAGTACCCTTCACTAAAAATACCTGAACCCAATAATTTGGAGGGGTGTCCTCATATGGCCATATAGTTTATATTGTGCAAAATTACTAAAATGTGTGCACATATGTGGCCGTGGTATGGACAGCTTGTAAACTTATTTGGGACTTCTGGAATGTCCTCTGTAATATAACATAGAATAAGTGGCAGCGCTTATATACACAAGTGCATTAATAAATACTAGATCTACCTCCTTCAGTAGCCTTGTTGTGATGGATTTCTCCAAAGCAATGGGGAAGCTGTACAGCACAGTACACCAATTATACTTTGTAATAGTTTTGGGGAAAAGACCTAAATGACAGATTCAAGTGCTTTTCTGAAAGTCACAAAGGCAAACCCGTAGGCATATATGTGTCAAAGGATAGTAAAGTACAATTTCAGTGAGCATACATTTTTAGTTATTATTTTAGTGTTTTGGGTATAGGTCCACTTGAAAGTGTTACGCCAGGTATGATCTTTATTGCATACTTACATTGGTCCAGCTTGCAACATTGTAAGTATGCATTTCTCATACCTGAAGGGCTGCGGGGGAAGGTGATCATCTCTATAGTAGTCGGGTTGGGTAATAACCCTTAGAACCTCCAGGTCTTAAGTCAAGCAGCTTCCTCTCTACACACTGATCAAAGGGAGTCAACTAGCTTAGCACTGCCACCATTCACAGAATGTCCATTTGTTATGAATACAAAGCGTTCTCTGATTGGACTAGAAGGAGACTGACATCGCTACCCCCTCCTCCAAAACTAGTCCAATTAGTGAAAGCCTTGTATTGATTAAAAAAAATACAAGTTCTGTGAATGGTGGCAGCGCTGAGTGAGCAACCCCTTGTGGCCTGTAAGCAAAGAAGAATGAAACCAGGAAAGGAACATCATGGCTATAACATAGTAGTGCTGATTACTACAAAGATTACATAACTTACACTGGTCCAAGCTGGAGTCTGCTATACAGATCATGCCTGGAGTTCAGCTTTAAGACAAAGTCTTCACATTTATTTCTGCTGCTGGAATAAGATTTTTTTCATGTGTGATCTTATGGACCCAGCCAAATAAATGCGAGTGTGAGAGTGGGAGCGAGTCCTGTGACCAAGCTGCAGTGCACATTCCACAGGTGCAGGAAGGAGATAAGAAGGCGATGTACGGGGTTACAGCATGTTACCATATGAAACATACTTTATGAAAGAAAGTGTAACCCAATCAGGAGATAAGGAAAGAAAAAATAACAGACAGCTGGGTTTACTCCTCCACTGCATGGAAAAAAGGCAGGCAAATATCACTGCATTCACATACTCCTTATGGAATTACTGTCTCTACCAGCTGCTTTAGACCAGCCAGAAACGGATCGAAATTTGGTCGTTCAACTGGAACCAGATGAATTTAGATCCATGTACAACCAGCCTGTTGTTTTTTTTTTGGTGCAATCACTGCAGCGGCTATAGCTGTCTGCAGTGGTCATTGAATTCTGAGGGCTGAGAAACCTCCCACTGTCATAATACAATAGTGCCGCAGCAGGGATTCCCCCATTAACAGGGAACATGGTTGAAAGAAAGAAAACTACCTAATCTATGACCACTTTAGTAAAACGGAGCCACACCTGAAAAGTTTGCATGCACACCTTTCCTCCTTTATTCTGCTGTCCTTATAGGATGAGTTCACTTTTTTTTTTTTTTTCTAAATTCCAGTTTCTCCATGTACCAACATAGCATTAATCTACTTTTTTTGCAGAAATTTAAAAGCCTTCCATTTTTTCTACCCACCTTTATGTCAGTGTCCAGATGGCTGTCCAAAAAGCTTCTCCATTACTTCTGCCTTGTTCCCTGCAGAGACTTTAGGTCATGACACAGGAAGGAGTTGACCAGCTGACCTCATTAGCACAAACCCTGCATCATCTACCCTCCTACCTCGCACCCACTTCCTTAAATGAAATGCAATCAATCAGAGATCACTGTTCTCACTAAGGTGTCCTTTTATGAAACAGAGATCAGCGACTATCCTAAGGATCGTCGCTGATCTCCGATCATTAGTGGTTTAGGAAACAGATGACCAGCAGAGAACATGTTCTACACTGATCATCTCAGCACACAGATGGCCGGTATATGAAGGAGCAATCTCAGCCCTTCACTGGCGATCTGTGTTCTCCCTCCAGATTCTCCAGCTCAGAGCTGGAGAATCGGAGGAACCGAAAACGAAGCAACGATATTTACCACTGCTTAGTAAACTGGGTTTGACTGATCTCTTACTGTAATCTCGCCAGATTATAGTAAAAGCAGCCGTTTTCCTGCGTTGAAAGCGTTTGTAGATTGCTTCTCCCTTCATTCGGAGAACTGATCTACACCGCTTCATAAAAAGGCAGAGGAGAACTGTCTTCTCCGAGAATGCCGGAGAATTGAGCAGCGGTCATTTACAGCTGCATGATAAAAGGACACCTAAATACAGACATTGATTTTTATTTTTCTACCTTAACTTTCATCCTGCATAAGTCATTCATTTGGCATAGTGTGCTGAGTGGACACATAACAGCCTATGTGGATAGAGCTGTAGTATTGAAAACAAGAGAATTGTGTTCTGGGTTCTGTAAAGTTCACATACACTATACAATCTGATTGTACAATCTCCTTTATATCTACCATTAACTATGTAGTGCAAGGGCATGCCTGATTGGATTCAGAGTGATTGGGTAGATAGGTGGGTCCTCCTATTCCATTGGAAAGCTTTTGTATTTCAGCAAAGGAAGTAGATTAATGCTATATTGGTACATAGGGGAGCAGGAATTTAGAGAAAAAAAGTGAACTTATCCTTTAAAGTTGTACTGGTACCACCAAATCATTTCAGTTCAAATTTCCTTCGATTTCTTGAAAATGGCACCTTCAGATACAGACCTCTCTTTATACAGTATATGTACTATATATACACTTTCTTAAAAACTATGTGCTGTAAGGAAATGATTTTTTTTTTTTCTTTTAATGAAGCAATTTTCAATCCACTCACCTAATGTGATTCCATTGGGCCATTCAATATCATCAGACACCAATGTCTGCCGATCACCCCCGTTCAATCCAGCCTTTTCTATTTTTGAGGGTTCCCCCCAGTCTGACCAGAACATAAACCTAAAACCAAAAGAATGAAGAAATGCCACTAAAATAAGAATCATCAATGAATAATCAACTGTAGTTCCACAATAGCTGGAGTACAGAGCTTGCCTACACCTGAAATAGAGCATTCAACAAACACAAACATGCTAGAAATGTGTTGCCAAATGACCAGAGAGCCCATTTAAAATACCATATTTATATATGCATTGTGACCATTGAAAGACCATAAAACCTATCGAATGCATTATGTGAATAAAAACTACCGATACAATTCTCATCTAATTATGTAAAGTTAACCACAGAAATGTACTTATTTGTGTTTTGTATAAGGCCCTATGCTTACTGGGCATTTAGCTTTGCTGCGTGGGCTCTGGCATTTAGCTGCGGGTGGATGGGAACAAGTGTCCCATCCAGCCCTGATGCCAGCAGCCCAGGGGTGTATTTACCACAAGGCAAACAAGGCATTTGCCTAGGACGGCATTTTTCGGGGGAGCAGCACCAATCCCCAGAAGAAGGGACAGAAGAAGGAACCCATGCAGCATGGGGACCAGGTGGGATCTGAGAGAGGCTGTGGGTTGCTTGATGGTGTATGAAGAGCTTCAGAGACTCCAGGGGATGTCTGGAGCTGTGAAGGTGAGTGTCTTTCTCTCTCTCACTGGGGCGTGGCGTGGCTGGTATATGGAGGGTGGTGGTAGTAGAAGGCTCTCTCGGGTGGGTCAGGGGGGAGGTGGTTTTGGTTGGTGTCAGGCTCTGTCTCCACAGGAGGGGGGGGCAGCCGATTTTTGTGTTGCCTAGGGCAGCACAAAACCTAAATACACCACTGCAGCAGCCTGTCAAACTCTGAGAGGATGATAGCTGCTTCAGGAGGATGGTGCTAGGTAGTGCAATCAGTGGTACTGCCATTTAGTGCAGTGCAGGGGCGGACTGACTATTTGGAAACTCAGGCACTGCCCGAGGGCCCGGGGTCAGTAGGGGGCCCCATGAGATGCCCCTGGTACCTTTTTCATAGGCTTTTTTTGAGTTTTGGGCAAGGACACAGGGGCCCCATGATCCCCTATTGCCCGGGGGCCCCATGAGTTGTCAGTCTGCCCCTGGTGCAGTGTGCACCCAGGGAAAAAAATGCCCACATTGCAAGAAGTCTGTGTTATGGGCATTAGTCCCTGGGTGCACACTGCCCTAAATGGAATTACTGCTGAATCTCATCCAGACACAGCAAATGTCAACCTCTTATAGAGTCTGACAGACTGCCAGCATTGGGACTGGACAGGACACCTGTGCCCTCTGCCCGGGTCTAAATGTCGCTGCCAACCCCTTGTGTGCATGGAGCCTTACTGCAGTGTGGCCTAATAAATTACATGAGCTGCACGCATTAGGCTGAACAGTTTGTACGCAATCCCTGGAACAGTGTTAGCATTGCATCATCCTCCAATCTCCACTCACCCTGAAGTGGGGTCAACAGCAATAGCTCTGGGGTCTTGCAGGCTCTGGTCAAACAGGGTTTTGCGTTTGCAGCCATCAGTGGTTGCCACGGAGATGGTCTTGTTGCCAGAGTCGGTCCAATAAATGTTCTTGTGAATCCAGTCTACTGCTAGGCCCTCCGGAGAATGGAGGTGACTATTGATGAGCACGACATGCTCCGAGGGGTCTGCGGCTCGTTCCAGGGGGGCACTGAAATACATAAATAAATCAATAGATCAATCAATAAATTTGTCATCATCTGTAGCTTCAGAGTCTGGCAAATACATACAGATTTGGTGGACTTGCCCTACAGTTAAAGTGCAACTCTGGACAAAGCTGCTTTTTTTTTTTTTTTGGCGTAGGGACAGATCCTGAATTTTTATTGCTGTGTCTGTCCCTGTTGAGAAGATTCCCATTCCTGACACGAAATCCAACCTTTGACAGCTGTCATCAAAACAGGTGTCCACCTTAGGTGATTTTCCCTTACCTCCTGTTCTGGTGACAACTTGGTCTGCTACCAGCTTGAAAACAATCTTGTGTGATATTTTGTGTCTGTACACTGCTGTGAACAAACCACTAACTGAGGGCTGGCTCACACCACATGCAGTCCAGTGTGTTTTTTTTTCTGCATCAAAAACACGATAGTACGTTACATGGTTTCCAATGGCATAGTTCACACTAGTGCAGTCAGTTACAGTGTGTTCTAGAGAAAAAAAAAAAAGTAGAACATGCTGCATTTTTTCTGCACTGAACTGCACTGGAACGTGGCAAATTGCATCAAAAACGCACCAGAATGCACCTATGCGCACCACAATGCACCTATGCGCACCACAATGTACATGTCCTTATTTATAGTGGAAAAAAAAAGGGGGTGGGGGGGGATGTAACAGAACGCATCAAAAACGAGCATGTAGAAAGGCTTCCAGAACGCATCCGGACTGCATTTCTATGGTGTGAACTGGCCATGAAATAGAATCCAGCCACTAGCACAGCTGGCCACCTACATTGCATTGAAATGCATTACAAAATGCACAAAATCTTCCCCCGGTGGCAGAATAAGGCCCCTTTCACACAGGGCCATCTAGGAGCAGTGCATACTTCCCTGTATTTTAGTGTGCCAAGGTGGGACAGGTGCATCATCCATCCCTGCTGCAGGCAGCCTGTCAAAAGTCCATGGCAGCCTGTGGCTGGATGAGACTGAATGCTGAAGACCTGCAATTTGCACCTTTGTTCCTGAATGCCCAGGGCAAGTACCACTTGGGAGGGATGCACTGCTCCTAGATGTCTGTGTGTGTAAGGGGCTTATTATCACATCTAGATTGTACTATTGTAACTGCTGGGGAGATTGCATTGAACTTCATGCCCCCCTCCCCTTTATCTTGTCAGCAAAACCATATTAGCTGGAAATAAATCAATAGTTCACCCTGGACTCAAACCTCTCCTTCCAACCTCATGTCAAATCACTTACAAACACATGCAGGCTCCACCTCCACAACATCGCCAAGATACGCTCCTTCCTTACCCCAGACACCACTAAACTACTCGTTCACTCCCTGATTATCTCACGCCTCGACTACTGCAACTCCCTTCTCACCGGCCCACCCCAGTGCAGGCTCTCCCCGCTTCAGACCATCCTGAACTCAGCGGCTAGACTCATCCACCTCACCAACTGCTCCACCTCTGCACCCCCCTCTGTCATTCCCTCCACTGGCTCCCGGTGGCCCAATGCATCAAATTCAAACTACTGACTCTGACCTACAAAGCCATTCACAACACCACCCCTACCTACCTCACCAACCTGATTCCCAAGTACCACCCTACCTGTACCCTTCGCTCCTCACAGGACCTCCTTCTGTCTTGCTCCCTGGTCTCCTCCTCCCACGCACGACTGCAAGACTTCTCCAGGTCCTCCCCCATCCTCTGGAACTCACTGCCCCAATCCATCAGATTGTCGCCTTCCCTCCTCACCTTCAGGCACTCCCTGAAAACCCACCTCTTCAGAGAAGCCTACCCCACCCTCATTTAACAGCAGTCCTCCTTCATTTCTCCAACCACTTCACCCCCACGGCCACTTCCTCCTGTGCCACTATCCCCTCCCTCCTAGATTGTAAGCTCGAAAGAGTAGGGCCCTCTAACCCCTCGTGTGCTGTTTGTTGTTGCTGTACTGTTTCATGTATTGTCCCCCTCTATTGTGCAGCGCTGAGCAAACCCTTTGGCGCTATATAAATTCGATGTAATAATAATAATAGTGCTTGCTTATCTATATCATCTTGAACTGCTTGCTTTTCTTACGTGGTTATCAACACAGTTGTACAAAGCATATATATTAATATACACCCTTGTGTATCTTGTAACTTTACAATATAAAAACATACCCAATATTAATGCATGAAAGTAATGCAGCATCAGATTCCTTTGAAGTCTGTACTCTGTGATATTACATAAACTACATCACCAGATGATTTCCCCGACAATGGTCACTAGGACAAGAACAAAGACAGCAATTCCCAACTGTGACCAAAAACGCTTTGGATAGCATTCCAGGGAGACTATTTTAGACGTTCTATTTTGTGTTAATAATACCACAGTTATAAAATGATCTTCTTTGATGAGGCTGCTCATACACAAAGGACAAGTGCTTGTAATGGGGGAACACAAACATATTTCCTTTAGACCCCCTACAATCATGCAATGAATTCTGAATGAGCTCAGAAGCCTCTCAAACGGATATAAAAAGCATGTTGCATTTGCCCATCAAAGCCCAATGACACAGGTCCCTACTTTGATTCCAGGTCAGTGGACCAGAAAGTTATAGTGATACTAAACCCCAGACCCTACATTCACTATATCTGGTCTCCCACAGTACACAGAATATGGAAATGCAATTATTTTAGTAAATATAAACTGCTAAATACCTTTTCTCATCATCAGTTAGAGCAGTCTTCTGACTTCAGCTGAGCACTGGTTAAAGCTTGTAGGAGGAGTTTTCTTTCTGCTCTAGGAGGATGCAGAACCCCTGACTCTCTGTCTGGACACTGCTGATTGGCCCTGTGCTGATCACATGCACTCCCCCGTGAAAATAAAAACCTCTCTAGCAACACACACTAAACTGAGCATGTGCAGAATGGCTACAGGTTCGGTCTGCCTTATCAGGTGGACATTTGAACAAGAGAAGGGGCAGAGAAAACAGGATCAAACGGCCTTTTTACACAATGCAGAGGATTAACCCCTTAGGTTCCACAGTGAGTATAACAAGCATGCATTACTGCATATACAGACTGATTTTACTGTTGTGGGTTTAGTTACATTTTAAAGTCAGAGAAAGACCAGACCCATTCCTATGCTTTTTCCTCCTATCAGAATGTTCCTTGTCAGCACATGTGCACTGCAACACACCCGATTGGTTAATAGCTACCCTTCTCTCTCCTAGTCTGAGTTCTACTGTACAAGAGGTCACTAGCTAATAGCTAGTCAAAGTTGAGTATTTACAATAAATTTAAAAATAAGTAAAAATTTGTTTTTTAATTTATAGTGATAACAAGCACATTCAGAAGCTGGTTTAATTACTTTCTGAGTGTGCAGCTGCTTTATCTTTTGGGGCTCATTCACACTAGAATGTGGTGCAGGAGAGCCATGGCCCGTGTGGTTTCCTGCACCGCATTCCGATCGCAATGCTCTTGTGGGGGTCAGTTAAACGTTGACGACACCCCAAACGCATTGCATTTGCCCGTACCAAATCACATGGTAGAAAAGTACCATGCGATGCAGTTGCCGTGCATTTCAAAAAGTAGTGTATGCACTGCTTTTGGTGTGGTGCAATTTCAGTCTATTCAAATGAATGGGCTTGAAATCGTATCGCACAGAGCTGCAGATGAATCATACAGGAATGTATACTGAATTCCTGTGCGATTCAACTCAGGGCATAATGTGCACTGGCCCCTAATCCTTGCCTATGTTCCAGTTCAGCAGGTGCAATGACTGCTGCTCCCAGGTTCTCTGCTTCAGGATAGTTCTTGTTTCTTGCAGTATCCTATGAAACCACCCTTGCATACAGAGGCTAGAGATGTGTCTTCCTACGCTGTGTGCATCAATAGAAGAACACAACCCTATAGCCTAGGATGGCAAGGCACTCTCCTCCCCCTCCCTTCTCCAAGCTAGTAGACTGGCTCAAGACTGCACTATCCACTGTTACTGCTTTCAGGTAAAGACTGGAAGTTCAGGGAAGCAGCGGTGAGAAAGCAGGAGCCAACAGCATTAAAAGTAGTAAATGGCAAATGCTGGGGTAAGAACAGTAACAAATAGTTTAACCAGGGAATGTTTATTGTGCTCAATGTGTAAAACTAAAACATGCTTAAAGCAGAACTAAAGTTGCAATATTTACCTTTGCTTCAACAATCCGAAGTCCTTTGCTGTTGCCAAAATCTTCTTCTTGGTGCCAGTCTTCAGCCATCTTGACTACCGGCTCAGGATGATGTCACTCCAGTGCATGCGCAAGAGTACAGTCATCTCGGCAAACAGGCACTGTGCCTGAATGGAAACTGAGCTGCGAATGTGTAGCTTTGTGTACGTTCTAAAGAAGACTGCGAACAAGCACCCAAGTTTATTTTATTACAAAAGAGACACCACATGTTTCTTCTGAAATAAAAAGCTCACCTGCTCACAGTTTTTTTTAAAGACTACTTTAATAGATAACTGAATTCTCTGGTCTGACGTTTAGGAGCTGTTCAGCGTTTTTTTTTCAGCAGCCCCTGAACTCTCCCTAATGTTTTCCTATGTGTCCATGTACACATCTTCGTTTACAGTCATTTGAGTTTACAGTCTTTTTTTGAATGCATCAAACTTGCATTCAGAAGTCGATTTTTATCAGCATTTCAAATGCAAAATGCTTATAAATGCGGCAAATCGCGTTTATAAGCGTTTGAGTTTGAACATTTTTTTTTTTTTTTAACTCTTCCAGTTCCCGATGCTGTCCAGAGCCTTTTTTCATCATGAAAAATGCATGCAAAGCATTTTCAAGGTGCTCAGATGGACAAAACACTGCACACAGGATGTTCCTACCAAGCTTGTCACACACTGTAATGACCAATTCACACCTCCGACCTCTCCCACTCTTGGAAACAAAAGATATGTTAATGACCATTCACACCTTCAATTCCTCATGAAGACCCCCTGCCAGGTGGCCTTTATGACTCCCTCCACCAGACACCTTTCCCACCCTTGGAAACAAAAGAAATGTTAATGAGCAACTCACACCTAAGCTAATCTCAACACATACTGCTGTCTCTGCTTCTACTCTCTGTATTTCTCTGAAACAGTCTGAAATAGTTAATAATTTACCACTTTTCAGTACATTCTGGGCATTTGGTAGGTTCTCCTGTGCTTCACTTTAAAAAATGCTTCTAAACGAAAATGCACATAAACGTGGCTAAACAGACGTTTTTTAACCTACGTTTTCCAGCAGTCAATTTCCATCGTTGAGAAAAGTGTCCCATGTACATGGGACCTTAATATACCTTGAGTCCATTTATAATAAACAAATTCACCACCACATAATAGGGTCAGTGACACCATTCCCATCAGCTCTTACCTGTAAATCTTCCGGTGAAAGAGGTCACACCAATAAATCTTTTTGCTTGTGACCTCTACATCCAAAGATACCACATTTTTTAGCTGTGAAGCGAGACGAGAGTAATCTCTGCGTACCAAGTCAATCTGGCGTAGTTCATGGCGATTGGTGAAGATAAGGTACGGACTCTGCCCTGCGAAGAACAGGATAACGTGGTCACTGACTCGCTACAGCATCAGTAAAATGCCAGACAGAATGATTTTGTTTATAAGTGAATGATTGTGAGACTGTAGACTCCCATGAAATACACACTGCGATACAATGCTTGCACAGCTCGATCAGCAATACAATGGTATGGCTTAACAAAATAGAAATTGCTTCGATTTGAGCTTGTGGAAGTAGTAAAAAAAAGTTCCGCTGACTGTTTTATACACATTATCTTGCTTCTTGGGAATATACTATCCTCTCCAAAGTGCAAACACAAGTTATTCATTTAAATTTTTCCACACCTATCCAAAATATTGAGGCTTAGAATCGCAGGCAGAGGAAGCTAAGGACAAGCGAGAGAGGGCGCCTCCATTTGGGTGTATACCATGCGTAAATCTAAAGAAAAGTAATGCACTCACAGGATGTGAAGGAAATTCAGGATTATCACCAATAAGAGAGTAGTCATCTGAAGGACGGCAGAGATTGGCAGGCAAGCGGCTGGCGGGTGCAGAGTTTGGCTGGGAAGCTGCTGTGTGGATGAAGACAAGAGCTGCTGTGGCGCAAGGCAGTTGAAGTGCAGGCGCCCAGACATGTGTTTCGGCTTTCTGATGTCCTTATCAGCCCCTTTCAGCAACACTCGGGTCCGATCAGCGATGACATCAATCCGAACGGGGGGTGTGGTTATGCATTGCCGGGCTCCTTGATGACTACTCTCCTATTGATGATATGCCAAATTTTCCTGCACATCCTGCAAGTGCATTATTTTTCTTTAGATTTACACCAATTACACATGGTTTATACTCAGATGGAGGTGTCCTCTCTCGCTGGTTATTATATGTGCGTTAGGTTTGCTCAAAACCTTTTCTAGGGAAGCTGCCACTTTCATTAAGAGTGACTGCCACAAACTTTTATCCTCCACTTAGCACTTATCCTTGGTTCTTTTGGGGGCCACAGCAGCACCATCACTTTTTTTTTTTTCTTATAGGTAGCTAGGGCCATGTGTAGTAGGGAGATCATGCCTGGTGAATGCGGAGAATCTTTACATCATCTTTAAAAGGAGTCAAAAGTGTCAGGTCAACTGTAATATTTTTAAAGAGTGTGAGTATGAAGTGAGTGATTTGAAGAAGTCTAAAGGCTCCATGTGCAGGAGCTTTCAGTCTGTTTGCAAAAATATAAAAAGGATTCAACTCCTTTCGATGAAAGGAGATCATGTACATATATCTAGTGCCTTTAGTAGACCACCAAAAGAAAGATTTTCTGATGCTAAAGGAAAATGGGGTTATGGAGAAACGAAAAAGGTTAAGGATGAGATGAAAGGGAGTTCGTAGTTCCATTGTAAGATACACAAGGACAAGGCATTGCCACCCTTTAACAGGAAGTGCCTGAACAGAGACCTTTATGGCAGGAACATCAGGTATTATTTTACTGAAAGCTGCATATTTAAAATTGTTTTTTGAAAAGACATTCAGAAATGAACGTTTTACCTCCCGCTTAACACATATGTGTGGTGGCAAATGGGCTTTAATGCCTACATGCTGCACATATGCGCCGCTGGGCGGCCGAGGTTACTGTGTAAGGAGATTCACCTTCTCTCTTTGTCCTGATAACTTAACAAAAGTGAAAAAAGGCCAAATTCTGAGAGGTCACCAGAACAAGAATAGAGGAGAAATCTTCCAATGGGGACACTAGATCTAGTGGCCCTGGTTTTCAATCACTTTGATGGGATTTCATCTCACTTCTTGTTGTGGCTAAACGACAGAAAATGAAGGGATATCTCTTCAATGGGACACAGATGAATAAAAAAAGCTAACGGGTTATAACCCTCCCCTGCTCTATACAAAAAAAATAAACCAATTTTCCTTCAGTTTTACTTTAAAGTGAGCAATCCAAAGATTATTGTACAATGTAGATTATCTATTGTACATGTTGTAAAAAGAAATGACATCTTGGTACCCTGCAGACTCACCGGCAGCTTTGCAGATTTTGGACACACTGTCCATCTGGTATCCTTCATAACATTCGCACTTAAAGTCTCCCTTGTAGTTTACACAGATTTGACTGCAGGCATCGGGGTTTTCACACTCATCGATATCTAAAAATTATAGAAAGAGTTTTAGCTGCAGATCAATAATCACAAATTACTGTTACAGGGTGTATATAACAAAGCAGTATGAAAGGCTATGATTTTACCTTTATTGAGTTCATAGCGGGCCGAACCACTACCGATGATTTATGACTTTTTATTTTTAGCACTGAGATTTTCAGCATGTTCTTTGTCTGAATAGCAAGCCATCATAATCTCTTCTACATAACCCATTGTTAATAAAATTTAATTTAGGGATAAATATGTAAAATCAATACTAATCAGAACTTTATGTGGTAGTAAAGGCTGAAGGTTTTTTACATTCATGCATTCCCGCAGACCCCCCCCCCCAATACTTACCTGAGCACGATATCACAATCCAGCGATGTGCACAGGAGCAACTGCTCTCTCATTGGCTCACACATGGTCCCGCTGCTGTCAATCACAGCCAGTAAGGAGGGAAGTGGGTGGGGCTGAGCCCGCTCTCTATGTCAATGTACACACAGAGCAGGGATCAGGAGCGAGCATGCAGGAGTGCCCCCATAGCAAGCCGTATGCTATGGGGCCCCTCAGCACGGGGGAGATTTTCAGCATGTTCTTTGTCTGAATAGCAAGCCATCATAATCTCTTCTACATAACCCCATTGTTAATAAAATGTAATTTAGGGATAAATATGTAAAATCAATATTAATCAGAAATTTATGTGGTAGTAAAGGCTGAAGGTTTTTTACATTCATGCATTCCCGCAGACCCCCCCCCCCCCTCCCAATACTTACCTGAGCATGATATCACGATCCAGCAATGTGCACAGGAGCAACGGCTCTCTCAATGGCTCACACATGGCTCCCGCTGCTGTCAATCACAGCCAGTAAGGAGGGAAGTGTGTGGGGCTGAGCCCGCTCTCTATATCAATGTACACGCAGAGCAGGGATCAGGAGCGAGCCTGCAGGAGTTACCCCATAGCAAGCCGTATGCTATGGGGCCCCTCAGTGGTAAGGGGGGGGGGAGCCAGGAGCGCCATCGGGGGAGACCTGAGGAGGATCAGGGCTGTTCTGCGCAAAAACATTGCACAGAGCAGATAAGTATGACATGTTCATTATTTAAAAAAAAAAAGTGAGCTTTTAATATCACTTTAAACCCATAAACATTAGCCTGACCTTAGCCTTATCCCTACACACAAACACCTAATATAGAATTACCTGTCTATTGCCCATTTAGAGAAAAGTGCCAGGTTTACTTTACTGCCTTCCCTATCATCTGCATATTACCTTCTCGTCTCTCCCCTTTCCTTGCTGTTCTATTTAACCACCATGAGCTAGGAAGAGCCATGACTTAAAGCTTCCACAGGACTGAGAACGCTCTCTTCGCCCCATGTGACAGTGCCGGGTGATGAAGAGGGCAATCACCAGTGCTGTCATATGGGACAAAGGAGAGGGGTCACTGGTTGTTTTTTTTGTTCTTACTGGCTGAATAAAATGGCAGAAAAACAAAAGAAAGGAGATCACGTGTTGCTGGTGGGACTGCAATTAAAATGAACCTGTTTCTTTCTCCTCCAAGGGCAAAGCACATGTTGGCTTTAACCTAACCACTAACATGGATCCCAAGCACAGCTGAAATATAAACATACATGGTGACTACATTACCATATTGAGAAATACCATCAGCCATAGCCATACTAGCGGTGATTATACTATCAAACGGAAAATATCAGGTGGTTACATTTTTCCTCCCTTATAGGCCCTTATACAGGTCTCAAATGTCAGCCAATTGCTGCTGAACTGGTCAAATTTCGAGCCATGGATGACTCTGCAAGCACCACCCAACTCAACAAAAATCAATATGAAAATGATCAGCCAAACAGTAACTGCACCCTATCAGATGCAATCACTGTTCAGCAACGCCATTGTAATCATGTTGTGGCTGCCTAAATACACAAGCTGGCAGTGGATATTCCTTCATCCATACTGTCATTGTGGATGGTGAATCAAATGATTTTTGAGCCAAGTGCAGTGGCCTTAGGTAAAATGTGCCAAATAATTAGCCCTGAAAATGATGTGTTGGAACCTGTGCACCAAAATGAAATGGATCATTCCTTTCAATGCCCAAATGTCTAGATTATATTAGGATGAAATCACTGTACAATGTAATAGTGCCTGATGGATCTTCAGTCCATTATCCCCCACTGTTGACCTAACTTTTGGATGGATTTCAGGCAGCATTTACATTTAAACATTTCTATAATAAAATAAGTAATTTGACCATAGGGCAGTGTTATTGAATGTTTATTAAATGATTTTATGCTATATTTGTACTAAAGAACCTTTTATTCTCCAAGCTTTGGATACCTGCCCTAGGAAGTGGAAATACCGGTAAATAGAAAGGGGCCAGTGCAGTAGTTTGGAGACCGGATTGAGAAAGAGACTGCCGCTCAGCAACTAATACATTGTTTACTCACAAGGAGAGTACAAACTCAGTCCTGTAGGTCTGTGTGGTCAATGTGTATTTTATAAATCAGTCTCTATTTTCATGTAATTCTTCCATCTGAAGTACCTGGTTGATCCTGGTACTCACTCTTCTTCCTTGTTCTAAACTGACCATACAAAGTACAGAAATTGATCTATGTTGGCTTGGTCAGTTTTCATCCTTTCGGTGTCCGTTCAGAGGTATAGGACACTGTGCAGACACACAGCATGCCTGTATTGGGTATTTTTGTTCAGCCCCCTTCCCAACCAATCACAGCCTTTCTCTTGCCTCAGGCTGAACAGACTATGTACTGCAGGCACACTGTGTCTGCACAGTGTCCTGTAACCCTGCCCCCTGCTATCCGGAATAAGAACTGCAAAGTCACATGACAGAACCTTGCAAAAAACAGAAAGATGATCTCTGAAACCTAAGCAAAATCAGTAATGGTGCCTGCATAGTTATAACTGTATTAGAAAGTCCTACGTTAAAGTGGTTGTGAACCTTTAACATGTAATATGAACAAAGCATATCCCTCTCTACATAGCATAGCATGTGCTTATCTCAATCCAGTGCAGCAATGCCCCTTTCACATGGGCCGGACTCCACTTTGCTCTGCGGGGGATCTGTCCGCTGAACCCACACTAAGCAGGGCGGAGCAAGCAGTGACAGATCTGTGTCTGCTCTACTTATGCAGAGTGGACACGGACACTCTATGGGTGGCTGGGTGTAAACAAGCCGGATGTCCGTTTCCTCCTGGCTGACATCCAATCTGCCCAGATGGAGCAGAATGGATCCCCTTCCATTTGCTTTTTAGCATATCGAATTGTGGGTAGGTGGCTGTAAACATACAAAAGCCTGTTTACATCCGCCGCTCCATAGAGGTGCATGGAAGGTCAGATAAGGTCCAGCTAAAAAATGGACAGGCAGACCAGATTAGATTGATCATGTAAAAGGGGTCTTAGTGTCATTTCTCTCTGCTGCCTCATTCCTCTGCTATCTGTATAAGTCACTCCTTACAAGTTTTCCTGACACCAAGAGATATGATAAAAAGTTGATAGAGGAGGGAGCTCCAGCACACAGCCTGTGATCGACAGCTCCAGTTCTGTTTCTGTGTGATGAGTGGAGAGGGTGTGAGTCCCTTCCCTCGAATCAGCTGTCAGAGCTCTCTTTACTGAGCTCTGCAAAGTGTAACTTCAGCTCCTATCCACTGCTTTCTGAAAGCTCAGACAAGCTGTATAGAAGTTGTACTTTGAATGGCTGTAGAGAAGAAAAGACTACAGATAAACAGGTACTACTTATGTAGGATGATTCGTTTCATCTCTCTTTATCACCTGAGACCAGTCACTTCACTAGGTTTACAGTATGTAAAGGTTTACAACCACTTTAACCAAAAGCCGCCCGGCCAATAGCCGTTTGGCGGCCGGTAAAATGCTGTAGATTTCCGGTTGACGCCACATGGCGTCCTCTCGGGCATGCACGGTTTTTGCGCTTGCATAGCTGTGCAGCGGCTCGATCTGTAACCAGCCATGTACCTCGGACACGGCCGATGACAGATCTGAGTACCGGCCCCCGTTGCCGGTACCATGTGACCTGCTGTGACCAATCACAGCAGGTCACATGACAGTTGTATACAATGGATGGCTTCATTCATGCCATCCATTGTATACTAGTGTCTAGCTGTGAATGGTCACAGCGATCACATGCACATGTCATGTGATTAGCTGTGGCCAAATAACAGCTAAGCGCAAAAAAAAAAAAAAAACCCCTGAATGAATCGATGTCATTCAGGTAAATGCTTGCTTATAGCAAAGTAATTCTTTGCTATAAGCAAATTGTGTAAAAAAAAATAAATACTGATTACTTCCCCAAAGTAGTACAATGTTACTACTAATAGAATAAAAAAAATAATTTTAAAAAAAATATATATATATTTTTTTCCCATACTGTCACCAGTCAGTGTCCCTGATCACCGCCATGCCAGTTATATGATGACGCTGTACTGCACTGGTGACAGTATGTAAAAAAAAAAATAGTGAAAATAATTTTTTACATTTTTTAATTTTCCAAAAGTAATAGCAGTGTGTTGAAAAAAGTGAATAAAGCTCAAAATCCTTCTAATAGCTTTTATTTCCATACACACAAATGCATTGGAAACACTACACATTCTATTCCAAATCAAAACATGAAGCTTCAGCAGTTCATAAGTCAACAGGGCGCCTTTGTGCAAGAAATGTTCCGCAGCAATGCATTTACATGGCCAACAATCGGCCAGAAAATTGGGGGCTAGGCCCGGGGAAAAACCAGGATTGTGTTGCAATGGGGTTAGAGGTCCAGGGGTCGAGGAAAGCGCAAAGTTGTTGCAGGCAATGTAGAAGCAGTGTAGGGATGGGCCAACAAAAGGGTGGTCTTTAAATTCACCAAGGGAATGAGGTCAGGGTAACCATGGAGCTATGTGTAGGGGTGTATGAGCCCCAGCGTATTTCTACTTTGACCCACGCCTTTGTTTTCTTGTGTAGATTCCAATCCACTACGCGTGTCAAATGGCA